CCCCGCGGGGCGGGGGGCGGGGGGCGGGCGGTCGATGCATTTTTTTTTGTTTTTACTGATTTGTTTAAAGAAAGAGGATGGGAGAGGGAGGAAGAGAGAGAGAAACATCCATGAGAGAGAATCATGGATCGACTGCCTCCTGCACACCCCCTACTGGTGATCGAGCCCAGGACCCTTGAGTCCACAGGTCGATGCTCAACCACTAAGCCACGCCAGCCGGGCCACTGATGCATTTTTAAAATATCCAAAGTCTTTGTTGATAAGGTTCTTCGTAGTGTTTGCAAGGATCCTTTTCTTAAAAAAAAAAAAAGCACTTACTTGTAACAGACCAGCCTTCAAGATGTTTTTGAAGTGCTCACCTCTTCTCACTTCGGATTTCCCAGTGTTTACTTATTTTATGATAAAAGAACTGGGTGGTATATGGCCTACCACTGTGTACAACAGGCTTGTTTTAAGACCATTTCCTCGGAAGCCCAGGAGCTTTGCAGCACAGGCATTTTGGTAACTTTTGAATCCTATCTGGGTTCCTAGTATGGGTTCAGCAGTGACTGTGATAAGTTTCAATTAAATGAATAGACAGTGTGCTGAGAGCAGTGCCCAGCTGACAGTAAGCAATCAACCAATGCTACCTATGATCAGCTAATTAAATTATTCTGAGCCACAGTTTCCTCATGAAATGTGGTTTGCTGTCCATTCACACAGCATTCTGAGAATTAAGTCAAACACAGTACCTGGGAGTTAGTATTAGCTTCCCTACCATCCTCCCCTTGGCCATTCTAGAGGTGTTTCATAATCCCATGTCTCAACAAGTCTCTACTTTAGCAGCTAATGGTAAATAAGAAAACCTCGCTTTTATGGGCAGGGAGCAGTGGGAGTGTTTCCTGGAAAGCTGGTTGGTTCTCTTCCCTGGGAGCAGCAGAGGGGGGATGCAGCCAGGCCGGGGCAGGAGTCTTCTCTCTCCTCTACTCTAGTGCTCTCACTCCAAATGCAAATAAGGATTAAAGGGAACAACAACAAAAGGCAGGACAACATTAATTTCTGTTAGAGAATTTGAAATCTGCACTGCGGCCGGCAGCAAGAGCAAGAAGCAGAAACCCACCACCAACCGGCCAACCCCAACAACAAAAACATACCAAGGCAAGACAGACAAAGTTGAGGCCCAATTCAGATGCTGAAGTTTGGATAGCTTTCAGGTGTGGAGCAGGGAGAGCGAGGAGTAGCAAAATACAAATATTCAACAAACGAGCAAATTAAATTGGCAGAATAAAACAGGAAACCTCAATAAATGCTTAGCAGCCAAACACATTTATTAGTCTTTTTTCTTTTTTTTTCCAGGAACCCAAAAATATTTTGTAGTTATAATGTAAGCAACTGAGTTGCACATAATACAATCATATCTTTCCAAAATAAAATAAAATACTAAACAAAAACAAAAATAAGCTGTTTAAAAGCCCAAAAAAACCCTTCAGAAAACTCTTATATATGCATTACATCATCTCTCAGCTTTAATGAAATGACGAAGACTTAATTCCTTATTATTCAACCTGTCACAATCCAATAAAACACCACCCTTTAGTTTTTTTGTTTTTGATTTTTTTTTTTGTTTTTGAAATCCAGCATGAGAAATACAGTACCTGCTATGGCAAAAAATACACATAAAATGCAACTTTTCAGCTTATTTGTACATTAGTAGAGTTTAACATTTTATTGTTTGTTTTTTAAGTGAACCAGTGATTTTAAGTACCACTATACTAAAAAAGTAAAATAAAATGTAGAAAAGGGGGGCCCAGCCTGCCATGCAAGTGCACCTCTAAAGTGCCTAGTTTCTGTGTCCATGTAAAACCAGTAATATGAGGAGCAATTTCAACATATGGGAGTTTGATTAAACCTCTATGTTTAAGGAGAAAAAAAAAAAAAGAATGCCATATCCTTCCTTTTCTCCCCTCAAACTTCCTTAAATCCCATCATCCACTTTCTCCATTGCCCACTGGAAGAGAGGAAAGAAAGCCACCAAAATAACATTGTAAAAGCTATTTCAAGTATAAGAAAAACAAAACACTTCTAGGTAACCTGCAGAGAGAGCATCAATGTCGTGCAGCTATTCAGTCATGTTACAGGTTGTTTCTGCCGACAGTTTCAGATGAGAGGATTTTTACTGTACCTTCCTGTTACCTGTTTGTGTGCAAAGTCGGAAAGCTGCCTTTTAAAAGTCTAGCCTCTTTCTGATGCCCTTCTCTGCACCTTCTGTTCAAAGGGGCAAGGAGAGCAGTGAAGGGAGGAGAACGGAGGAAGGGAGCACTATGTCACAAGTCATTGAAATGGGACTTCTCCGTCTGTCCTCCTCTGCACCCCCCAGCCCCTCGATTCTCTTGTTCACCATCAGGGACCTAACTCTCACTGCAGAGGTTCCATTATTCAGTTTCCTGATTTGGTAGGATGTATTTTACTCTGTAAACATAGCCCCCTAAGATTATGGAACCCAAAGCAGCATTTATATCTCCATCTACATGGAGAAAGTCAAAATAGTCCAGAAATCTCTCCTCAGGTTGCTTTTGTCTGTTTTTGGTAACTCAGAACAAGGATGGGAGTAGGGTGGGCACAGAATTTGAAGTTGTAAGCAAATAGTGAGAGTCAGGAGTAGGCACAGCTGAGCTCGTGTGTCTGCCTCCCCCACCTCCCCCCACCTCCCAGATGGGTATTTTATTTTAAAACCTGTTAAAAACGTTCCTGCACCTTAAGTCATACTGAGGTTAAGGCCAAGGGTGCAGGATCCTTGTGCACGTGTCTCTGTGAGCACATTCGTGGTGCAGGCACCATTTTTGATGTCTTCTGTGAGATCACTGGACACACTTTGGTCACGGGTGTGTGTGCAAAGGTGGTGGTGGGGGAGTGAGTGCCCCAGGGAAGAAGTGCAGAGATCAGCAAAGCCCTTTGGGAGGATTGTAGAGGGATAAGGGCAGGAAGAACTCTTGAGGGGTCAGAGGAAGGAGACTGATGGAAAAGAGGTCTCCAAACAAACAGAAATCAAATCCCAAGGTCAACATAACCAAAATCAGAAGGCGAGTGGTGAACATACATGCATTTATAATCAAGCTTCTTCCTCTCAAAGGAAGTCGTCACTATACAAGTTAAAACTAAAAAGGGCTTCTTGACAGATACAGGGTTTGTCTCTAAGATGGAGGTAAGGGGGTGTTTGTGAAGAAGCGGTTCCGACCCTGCCTCGGAAGTGGCCAAATCTAAGAGCACAGTAGCTGACGGACCCTACAAGCAGCATTTGTTAAACTTATGTCCCTCTACCTAATGCCAGCCAAGCCTCATGGAGGGGGCAGTGTCTGAGGGTGCACAAGCCTTTCAGGGCAGGGTGGCTGTCTGCACATCTCAGATGAGCTTCTGTGTAAGTAACAAATCAAAACATGTCCGGTGTATCCCAAGATGACAAGGCTATAAATTCTACAGCGCCAAACCGAAATGCCAGGGACTAACTCCCTTCCTGAACTACAGAATGCTACTCAGTTACTGTGTGTGTGTGTGTGTGTGTGTGTGTGTGTGTGTGTGAATCAAAAAAGGTCGAGAGCTCAAGGTCTCCCACGGAACACATTCTGCTTCCAGAAGAGAGAAGTTCAAGACTCTCCGCACCTGGAGAGAGAAGGCTGGAATAGATGGCATCTATTCAAAACAGGCTTCAGACACTGGCCTGCTGTCACTGAATGGGGGGCGATGGAGGGAACACCAGCCCACAAATGCAAGTCCACACCCTGACCGGTTCTGCTTATTCTTCTTAAATATGAAGAATAAGATCCCAAACTTCTGATGACTTAAAAAAGAAAAGTATCATATTTTAGGGGTACTTTCACAGCAAAAAAAAAATTATAAAAGTTATCCTGCTATTTACATGTTCATATTTTCAAAAGGATGACCCACTGCTGTCAGAAAAGGAGAGGGGAGTCAAGGCCTATACTGCAGGGGAAATGTACCTCGAGGTATTATTTTGTGTTAGACAGTTGAAACGTCAGGATTTTAATTTTTTTGTTGGTTTTGTTTTTGTGTGTTTGTCTGAAGGCAATCTTAACAGATTGGAACCCTGATAAGATCGTGCCCGTGCAGCCTCGCCTGGGCACCAGGAGACTGTGGTCAAGTCTGTGACTCGTTACAGTACTGTGGACAAGAGCTGCTGCGTGGAACACTGAACACGGGCGAAACAATCTCCCGTGTACGACACTGTGTGTTGCAAATAATGCCTAGACCAGAGCAATGCAGGTGCCACGATTCACCACAGGCAAGATCCACGAAAGAATTCTGTTAGGACAGAGAAGGCTGCTGGCTTTCCCGTGGCAAACACCTCGCTGCTCGCTAGCTATGCGCAGCTTAATGCACGCCAGGGAAGCAGAGAGATCACGTTTGGCTGAGGGGTAGTGGATGGGGCAGAGAATCCTTTTTGCCTGCCAAGCAACAATCCTCGTTCCCTTAGAGCAAGACAGTTTCCTTATAACTAAGTTCACTTAAACATGATTAAGAAGGAAGAACAAAAAATTAAAAAGGAGCGAGGAGGAGGAGGTTTTTGAAGTTGACATAAGATGAACTTTAAAGTCAGCACGAGTGAGACATGGTTTCCTGAGCTTGAAAGGGTTCTGAATTCAGAGAAGGATGAGTACTTTTTTCCAGAGAACACTGGAGCCTCCGGGACCCCACGGTGGCCCTGGGTTAACACTGCACGGATGGAGAATCCTGTACCATACTGGTTTTGCTGGCCGCCAGGCCTGCCAGCGACCACAGGAGGACCCAGAGGTCTCTGCACTTCGCTGTGCAGACCTTTACCGCTTCTTGCTCTCACTCCCCTTCCCCGCCAGGACGTGGGATACCATGGACACAGAAACCATAGAATAAGATGCAAAGCTACTTCCTTCCCTTTTCTGCCCTCTCCTCCCCCCTTTTGCAGAATGCATAGTTACAATTCACGTTACAAAATAAAGAAGCAATGATGACCAGTACGGGACCTTTTTTTTTGAAAAAAGAAAAAAATCCAACAACCTCTTCTTAAATTCAGTATCAAAATTCACATTTGCATAATAATACATTTCAAGGCCATTAGAGAGGAATGAGAGTGAAGCGGCAGCATCTCTCCTCCCTTTGTCTTCCTGAATGAAGCTGAAGGAAGCAGAAGGAATCCTGCGGGAGGGACTGGTTTCCTCTTTGGGGAGTTCTGAGGAATTATGGAAATGGCCCTTAGTTTTCACTTGATATTTCTTTAGAAGATCGGGAGTAGGGAGAAGAGGTGGAATCGTTTAAAACAAATAAAAACAAATGAAGACACGCTGCAGGTTTCTATGTTTTAGCTATAATAGTTCTGAAGAAATAAAATATGATTTCAGATTTTTCTCTTTTCTTTCTCAAACACTTCAATCTTACTCTTTCCAAAGCCTTTTCCTTGTGTGTAATACCCTGTTCGCAGAAACAGCAACATGAAGTGACTTCCATTTGGGAAAAGAATCGCCTTCTCAGGACACAGACTCAGAGGGTGGGACTGCGCCGCCCGCTCTGCACGCAGACGCTGGGAAAACGCCGTCTTGACATGCACGAATGTGTCACAAACATCACCATATTTCAGCTCTCCAGTGCTTTCAGAAAAACAAAAAGTAAAACAACCAGACGTGCACACACACACACATACACGAAGAAAACTAGGTAATGCAGATAATAAATTCAACCTGCACTCCTGGACTAACCGGGTCTCTGTCACCTGTACACCATCACCTCACTGCCCCTCTCCCAGGTCCCAGAGCCTCTCCCACACCCTACACTGTGCAACACGGATGCTAACGAACACTCAAACAGCTGCCCCGGAGACTGCCAGGAGAAATGCTGACTTCCCTACAGACTAGGCTGACCACGTTTCCGTTTGATCCTAATGGTCGCTGGACTCACAAAGGCACATTCAGAAATACTACACATAAGTAATTAATCCCTTGGACAAAATTTAAAAAAAGAGGGGGGAGGGTAGAGGTGGTGTTTTAAACACATTTATTCTAACTTACCCCGAAATTAAGTGTATGCTGAAGGCATCACTTAGTGAGAAACTATACTACCTTTAAAAGGTATGTAACCTAATGGTTCCAAAGGTTTTTTTTCCTTGGTCTCATATAAATACCTCCCCTTTTCATTTTTGGCGAACACATGTAGGACACCCATCTTGCTCTCCGTAAAGCTCTGCTGTCAGGCTGGTCCTGCAGGAAGGCTGCTCCACCTCACTCTGGCCGCCTCTTCCAACCCCACCCTCTGAGGAGTGTGCACGCCTTTCAGCAGCCCGAGGAGGACTGCCACCTCCGCATGCGGTCCAAGAGGGCAGGCGAGGAGGAGGGAAAGGAGCGCCCTTCACAACAGTATTGCTAGCTACCCTCACCGATCGTCTTTTGCTTGCCCTTCACAACTCCACCACAGTATTGCTAGCTACCCTCACCGATCGTCTTTTGCTGCTCACTATTAGTTGTAAAAAGGAATTTTATTTTTAAAACACAGTCCCAACTTCTTAATATTGTCTCAAAATGGGTCAACTGGGATTTTATTTCCAAAGCAATGATTTATTAGGGAAACACTTTCTTTTTAAAATTTAAAACAGAACATTTCTTGCCTTTATCTGACCTTTCCCCTCCCATGATCAAAACAAGTGTTGGCAGAATGAAGACCCAAGACTGAGTCTTGCAGAGGCCCCTTGACCAGGGTAGTACCATTTCTTCTGGTGTGCAATTTCTTGTTAAAAACAAATTCAGGTGCATAGCTAACTGAAAAGGGAAAGATTGAAATTCTGTGAGGCAAACACTGGCAGTTTCGGTCACTTTTGCTATTTTTGGTGGTGGTAGTAGGTTACTACAAGAGATTGACAGTTTAAAAATCACTCAAATGTTAGAACACTGGGTAATTACTCCAGATCTAGTCAGAGTGACCACCCGCAGGACAGCATGGATGCCCAGCCGGTGGGGAGTAGCTCTTTCCTGATCAGTGTTCCCTTCACCATCCTGTAGGTGCTCATGGCCTCTTTGCTTTGGCGGTGTGGGTAGGAGGAGGCATTCTGTATGGGGTAGGGAGGGCCAACGTTCAATTTTTAAGTTATTACAATGTTCACAGATTTGGAAGTTGATAATTATTTCAAATCTAAAGAATGTGATGCCAGCACCTCCTTTGTCAAATTTAAGGTCAAGAAAACAACACTATCGTTGACAAGTGGGAATCACCTCTGAAAATACACACACCTTTGGCACTGGCCATGAACCTACCGACCATACTACAGGGTATGGTCTAATTGTGAAACTATATATATTTTGTTTTTGACAGGTTGAGAATATCCTTGACAACATTAGGTATATTTGTCTGTTTCTAGACTGTGTGGACACCCTGTACTTGCAGATAAGAAAGCAGAGGGGGTGGAACATGGCGTGCGGCAGAGGGTAAGGGCAAGGGCACCCTATTTTTTGAATGATGCTGAGGTCAAAGATTGACAATTCACTGTATACACACAGGCTAGACTATGGTCATTTGCACTATCGCATGCGGCCTGGTTGTTGTACACTCATAGAAGGGAAAACAATAAGATTCCTTTTTGCAATAACACTAAGAAGTGTAGTTAATGCATAGACAGGAAGTGTTGACAAAAACTTGGCAAAAATACTGGAGAAGAAAAGTTTGATAATTTTTTAACAGTTAAAAATAGATCTCTACTCCTAAAGATCTTATAGATAATTAAAACAAAAGAAAAAAACCCTCCAAAACAACAACCTACAAAGTGTCATATGTTGAATCTGAATGCTGAGGACGGGGGAGAAGGGGACCTTTTTTACATAAAGACTCAATTGTTCCCTAATCTTAGAGATGGCTGTCACAGCCAAGTCTGCTGAAAACATCCTGTTTGCACTGCAAAGAAAACAGGCTTGGCTGCAACATTTTGCTCAGCACACAGACGTATTCATTCTGTTTAGAGAGTCAAGATGCCAGAATATAAAAAAATAAAATTAAAAAGTACACAGCATCTGAGGTCGATATGGAATCTGGCTGTTAACTCTACAAAAACTGTCCCCTCTCTCTCCCAAAAAGTGGTGAAAGTGAGAGTGAATATTTGCAACAAGTTAATAGCCTGTGAAATTTTAGTTTCTGCTAGATGTATTAGTAAAAGCTCTTCCAAATTCTTAGGCAGGAATTTATTTTCCGTTCTTTTTTGTTGCATATCTTATACACCACAGTCAACCCACAGGAACTTGGAAGAACCAACTGCTAATTTGTGCTACATTCATGTCAGAAGAGGTGGGAGAGTTCTTAGAACAGGAGCCATCGTAATAGAAAAGCAAACTGCTATAAATAAAACAAATTGAATGGCTATGGGTAATGCTGATTTACGGGAGGGCACTGATGAAAGAATTCTGTTTGGGGCTTTAACGGCGGCACTGCTGGTTAACTTCTGTGACTGTCGTAAATGAAAAATACCAAGGGCTAGGGCCTGAGGGATCAGAGATGCCACATCCACTTTTTCACAGTGTCTTGGAGATAAGAACTTTGCTATTTTTTAAAAAAAACAGCAACACCTAAAATTAGGTAATGGCACTGGATCTCAATTGCCAGCAGAGGTCCCCAGTCGGATGAAGACATCCCTTCCCCTACTAGTGCTGCTTTCGTTTTGGCTACTCATGTGGTAGACAGAAACCAAGTTTGTGATGTTTGAGAGATGGACACCTCTAGCCACTAGTAATAAGTGTTTAAAGAAATAAAGGGGAACTAGTAAAAAATTGGAAAGCTCAAATTTACATGATCAGAATGTTTATAAAGCAAATTGATGTAATGAGAGGTGACTAGCGAGCCTCTGCACACATGCCAGAATGTAGTGGAGGAGAAGACACTCCCACTGAATTTTCTAAAGTGTTTTGAAGCCGCATATCCTCTCAGCAGACGTGGCTCTTGCCAAAGAATACCATGGAACGCAGAGTCTTCCTCTTCCATTACATCTCACCATATCCTGTTCTTAAAACACTGCCAACCAATAAAAAGCAAAGCTTCCAGCAAGTTGATAAAAGAAAAAAAGGAAAAGGGCAGGGAAAGGGAGGAGAGGAAGGACAAGAATAGAACAATACGAACCCCTTTCTACTGGCCTGACACGGAGACTTCCCAAATCATTCTCGCGGTCACACTGACACACCTGGAGAAGTCAATGCCCAGTAACCGAGGGCATCGACACAAGGAAGGACCTTGGCATTCCGCATTTTCCAGACATAAAGCATATTTAACTTCCTTGATTTCTGTTTATTTACTTTAAATTTAGCCCATTGCCTTTGGGGCCTGTCCAGAACCACTCCAATGTCCTTATTGGGCAAGCGTCTTAACGTCCGTGGAGTGTCTGGACCACAAGCACATACACACGGGTTCCCCTGCTTAGGATGCCTGGGTGTATGTACGAAGGCACTAACGCGGTTTTAGAGAAATTGCAGGCAGCAACCCCACCCACTCCCTGTACCTGTCGAGTGGGAGTTCCTTTCCCACTGGGAAGCTTAGATGTTTAAAAGAAGCTGTGGTCATGCTTGGGAATTCTGACCCCGGGCCCCAGGAGGGAATACAAAAGGAGAATTCAACTTCACCCAAAACTGAAAGGAAACACTCCGCATCTCTCCGGCTGAGGGACGGGGATAGTTAAGCAGCAGATCTTTAAAACAGCATTTAAAATGAGCACAACAGTGGCTGGGAGCAAAAAAAAGTAAAATCACTTGTTCCTTATTAGATTCTATTATTTTCTCCTCCTGCCATAACAAATGGAGGTAAGACAGACATTCTTCATTAATAGAACAGTCCATAGATATTTTTCCTCTAGTAATGCCTATATTTAAAATTTGTTCCAAAAGTTATTAACCTATATTTCCTAACTCTTTACATAGATTCTCAGCAATCCAACGGTACTATTTTACAGATTAGAGTTACTTTTATTTAAGCTGTTGTTTTTTTCTTTCTTCCTTTCTTTTGTTGGTAGGGCTGGGGGAAGGGAGAAGGGTTCCTTTAACAAAAATAAAAATTAGTAGGGGAGATTCCAGTTCAGTCTTAAATGGAAAGGAACAAAGTGATGGAATTTCCATTTATATATACCAAACACTCTCCAATTAAATTACACACAATATCAAGTCCGTGATAGAGCCCTTATAAAGCTCAATCCTTCTCCCATATTTTTAAAGATAATGAATTTACCTGTTGCTGCTAAATTGATCATTTTAAAAAATATTTATTTCTACATGTTTTAAAAGGTATGATTCCCCAGTATGACAATAACGTTTGGAGACTTCTCTTTTTACATTTTTTTACGTAAAAATTTTTTAAACTTTTTGAAGTTTCAGGAACTTGTAAAAGTTTATTAACAGGAAAGAAACAGCTGTCTATCTAGGATAAGATACGGTTAAATAAACCCATCTTCAAAAAACTGGCTTCCTACCCTAGAATTCCTGAGAATGCTTGCAAATTTTAAAGCAGGAAAATAAATGTTAAAAACGAAAACAAAAAAACACTGTTAAATGCTCCCAGAGTTAGTCTTCATCTAAAATATATATTTATATGTATATATATATGTATATATATACGCACTTTTTGGTCTTTTTTAAAAGTTTTAAATTTTTTCCCTTTAAGCTTATGATGGAAGAACATTTTAGCTTCTCATGCTAATTTTACATATTTCAAATCCCTCAGTATGTCTTGTAAACAAGAGGGGCTCTAGCACCCGGCTTTCACCGTAGTATCGTAAGGAACTCAACTAACCCATAGTGCAGGTCAAGGAACCAACAGGCTGGAAGGGTGGAGAGGTGGGGCAGGACACGGCAGGAAACCAGAACGGCGGGGTCACCACTGGCTCTCCGGAGCCTCGGGACGTGCTCCTCGCCTAGGGCCGCTAAGAGTTAGCCTTCTGGAGATGTCTGAGCACAGCTGCTCTTCACCTGGAGCTCGCCACCTGGCAGGGTTTTGCTCCTCACACAGAGCAGTCAGTGGGGCTGGGAGGAGACACTGTGTACGTGGGCAGAGGTGGAAGGGGCATGGTGGTGATGAAAACCGAGAGCAGGAGGAGGGCACGGTTAGTTTCTACAAGGCATCCAATGGGACCAAACCAACGCTGGCAACTCAAGTTTGACCACCTACCCACGAAGGGTGCATAAAGACTTGTATGAGCGAATGCTCACTTGAATTATGCATGTCAATCTCTTTAGAGGCTAGGTTTATAATCAACAGGGTAAGCCGAGAGGACTACAGAATTCCCATTGTCTCACAAAACCACTTGAATGAGTTTTTGCCTTTTCCTATACATACCCACCCACCCACCTACACAAATACACAAGCTAAAAGTCAAATACATTAGGCATTGTTATATCCTTCACTGAAGATGCTAAAGAAAGAAAAACTCCTTTGTCCTCACTAGCAGCAAGTTATGGAGGACAGTAGAGGTCTGCTCCCACCAAGGGTTGGAATGGGCAGGTATTTGCTGGTACAGAATGTCGGCACTTTATGTTAAACAGTATAATGCAGATTGGGATGTCCACACAAGTGCTAGCACATTACCGGCATACGACTCCCCTCCCCCCACCCCACCCGCCATCTGCTTTGTATAAAGGGGTACCCCCTCAGGGCTGCTATAACTTCACAAAAAGCAGTTTGATACATTTTGATTCCAACATAAGTACATACATGTTGGTGATAACTGTGGATTAAAAGATGCCTCCTATTCGGCCCAGAGTACTACTACATTGATGCTTTAAAAAAAAAAGTCTTTAAATACCAAAATAAAAAAGCAACATTATAAGGAAAAAAAAGAGGTCAAAACCAAAAAAAGGTGCAATACTTAAAAGTCTTTGCTAAGTTATACCTGCCTAAGCAAAACCACATACACAGGAAATACACAACACAGAGAAACAAAAGGAAACGCTTGAAGTACACACTGGTTTAAGAACATTCGTTAAGTAAACGTTTCTGTCAGTGATGGCCTGGTGCTGTAACACGCCACGGCCTGGCACAGGTAACGCTCAGCAAGAAAGGAGCAGAGAGGGAGGAGCTGCGGATGCTTTCAGGAGGCTGCTCACAACTTACTTTTTTCTGTTTCCATAAAATGAAAAAGAGAATAGAAATGTTGGATTCAGCATTACCTTTCTGATGAATTTCTCATACCTGATTACACAAGAAAGGAGGGGAACACAGATTTTCTGCTTTCGAGACATCACATAATTAAAAACTAACTTATCATCTGTTCCCATTCAAAGTCACGAAAAGGCCTGCGTAAAACTTAACAGAGATTCGGATGTGCCTAGTGGCCACTTGTTTTAAAAAACAGAAATAAATAAACACACAGCTGCTCCCAGAGGTACCTCCTGCTCTCCTAATTTTTTGGACTTGGCAGTGCTCCGCTCTACTGCTAGGTCAAAAGAAAAGCTAGAGAAAACTCACACTCAGGCTAATTTGCAAATGTAAAGGAGCTCTCTGCTTTCATCATTAAAAAGCACTCTGTTCATTTTAATGCAGCCCACAGGAGTTGCTTTAGTAGCAGTGGCTCTCCGTGCTTGTGTGTTCTCATAGTTAAAAAAAATAATAATAAAAGTAAAAAGCAGATGGCCGGCCAGCCAGCCTACGGACTGTCAGCAACGCAGCTTTCTGAGAAATCAGGGTCAGGAAGGAGGAGGAGGCAGAAGAGGACACAGGCACACACACACACAGAGACAGAAAGAAGGATGCACGCGAATGCACATGAACACACGTGCACACACATACCAGAACGAGCATGCCTGGGCAGTTACATGTGCCAGAACACACTGGTATTTATCAACCAGCCAATCACAAATTTTTCCTTTTTTTTTTTTTAGGTTTTTTGTTTTTGTTTTTAAAGTGAGGCTCCGTCAAGTCTTCCCTCCCCCCACCCCAACAATTCTTTTGAATTCCCCTCCCTCCCAAACATGGTAGACCTAAGGACGGAAACACACCCAGTGCAAACAAAGTTAAAAAGCTATTTTTCAGTATATATGTTTCTTAGCAACAACTTCCATATAACATGAAAAAAGTGAAAAACTAGAAACTAATTTTTTTAATTTTTTTGTGTTTAAATTTAAATGGTATGTGTACTTGCTTCACATTGTCTTTCTAGGTTGGCGTTCATGATTCAAGTATTTCAAGAGTGATATGTTCTCTTTTTGGATTCATATTCCAAACGAAAAAACTGAAGTTATAAGGGAGGCAACTATGTGCTCAGACAGTCTGTCAATGACCCACCTTTTTTTTTCTCTCTCCGTTTTCTTTTTTCCTTTTAAAAATGTATTTATTGCAAGTTGAAAAAAAAAACGAAAAGGTCAAGTTAGTGCTGCTGCTGTTCCAAAAAAGGTCACGAGGTCAGAGTTGAAAGTTCAAAGTTCAGATTGAATCCGACCCTCCTCCTAGAAGGTCACCAGGTAGTAAAGGAGCAGGGCTGCCCATCCTATGGGGATCTTCCACAGTTGGGACTCCCCACAAGCTAGAAGAATAGTTTGGGGGCCCCCACAACGAAGCGCCAGCAAGATCGGCCCCACTGCTGCCGCCAGCACTGCTGCTCCATTGCCCGAGCCCTGTGGACCCACCGAAAAGATTCAGAGCAGGTCCGACGGGATCTGACTGGGTCTGGCTGGTCTCCAGCGACTGCCAACCTGCTGCGGGTGCGCTTGGGGTTGCTGCAGGTGTAGGGGGCTGAGCTTGTGCCAGAAAGCGGCTAACTTCATCATCAGTGGCAAACTCAGCCAGGATGGTAGTGTTTCCCAACACACACCTGCAAAAAAAGGAAGAGAAGAACTATGGATTTGAGGAAAATCCTAAAGCACACAGGGACTGAGCATTTTGAGTCCTTGTTATTCAAAGTGCAGTCCTTTGACTAGAAGCGTCCACATCTCCTGGGTGCTTTTTAAAATGCAGAATCACAGTGTCAGAAACTGCATTTTTACTAGACCACCAGGTACTGATTTAAAGCAATAAAATATCACAAACTCTCAAGATATCCAAAGGCTATCGGAAGATACTATATATCAATATCCTTTAATGTGTGAAATTTATATGTCAAGAATGATGTCACCTCTCCCCCACCCCCATGGGAGGTAAAAGATCACACACCAAGCATCAGGGTGACCCAGCTTTAGACACCTGGAAATGCTGCTCCATCTCAGCGGCAGGCTCACTGCCGGAGCCTCAGCATTACTTGCTTGTTCTGTGTGTAGCTGCTTGTTGTGCATATGCAGCCACAGGGAGCCAGCTCTTTCTTGTCTACCAGTTTGAGAGTGGCAGGGAGGGGGATGCTCAAAGTGTGATCCAGTCCCACCTACTTGATGCAAAACCCCTGCTATTCACCAAGACCACAATATTCCATCACCCACAAAGAAGCCAAAGTAAGCAGTTAGATAGGATTATAAAAAGAGACAGTAATTATGGTTCACATTTTCATAGATATTGATCTTTGTTTTATGGTACTTAAAATTTATTTACTACTTCACTAATTTTTCACTTATGGAATTATCATGATCGTCCTATGATGTACACAGGACAATCCACGCTTAGGCAGGTAAAGAACAGCCACCTCAGTACGAAACAATTGCTAGGCAATGGTATCGTTTTGAGCGTGTTCTCGTGCATCTTTGTTTAATTAAGCAGGTGCCAGAATATTAATGTGTGCATCTTCCTGTGTGTTGGTCTCAGTGAGCATATAGGATGGGTACTCACATGTGCAGTGCAGTTTGGGCCTTGGCCGCCTCCTGTTTGGTGCTGTATCGGATCAGGGCGGTGCCCTGGGTTAGGTTCAGATGGAATGTCAGCAGTGGGCCATGCTGCATGCAGATGGTTCTCAAGGTTGACCCATCAATCTAAGGAGTAAGACATTCGTGAGATAAAAACTGAAGGTGGGTGTGAAAGGAAGTCAAGTGACCTTTCTTATACATAAGAATGAGAAGGGCTTCTGGCTCATAAAGAGTAATAGTACTAAATAAGTCTCGGAGGGATGAATGAAGAACTCAAAATAAAAGAGTGCATCAAGTACAGAGGTCTTAAAGAAAAATTTTAAGATACGCAAAGCACTGGGCAGAGATCTAATGTGCCCATTTTGCAAATTAAAAAGTTTGTACAAGTGAAGCTCAAAACAAAAGCATATGATTCAACCTGTGGTCTATATTCTTTAAGATGTGAACATGTGCTAATTTGTAGAGCTTTAAAAAGCATAAATAAGATGCTACCCAAAGAAGAGTTTAAGAAAACACAAAATTCTCAGCATCATTACTAATGTAGTATTCTTCCACCTCCCCAGTTAACAACCTCACAAAGAGCTAGAGAGAAAGCCACTAACAAAAAAAGCACTGCTAACCATCTGATGATTTAAAGTACTGACAGCTGCCCCAGCTCAAAGGCTATTCTAATGTCCTCTTACCCCTACTTTGGCCATCTCAAGGTGAAACTATTTCTACCTACTGCTCTGTCCTCTGCTGCCCACTGCCAATGGGACCAAAGGTTGTAGTTGCTCACCTTAGCCAGGATCTTACCACTAAGATGTTCAGTGATTGGGGATAATTGCCCTCATCTATGACTCAAATGAATAGATCTATTTATTCACTCTGATTAATTTATTTGTATCGAGATCTCAACTATGTTTATTTAAGCTGCACAGTCCAACATTTCAGTTCATTTCCTTGGAAGTGAAACAGATTACTATTGGAAGAGCCTTCAAAAGTTGTGCTACTGGCAGCAGCAGTGGGAAACATTCCGTGGTTTTACCATGGAAACCCTGCAGGATAAAACTGGCAGTTTCCCCATAGTTCTTTAGAAAACTAGTGGCCCAGTGCACGAATTCATGCACATTGAAAGGAAATTAATTAGAAGAAATATTTTAATATCCCTATTGGCCCTTTCTCTATAATTGAAGTGTCAAATAAATTCACAATCGACAATGACAGATGGAAACACACTCGTGTGATTGGACCCAGCGAGAGCTTTATATATATAAACTTCCTTAATTAGACCTGCTTTCTGATTTAGCTAAACTTTTTCCAGCCCAGTGAAGCATCCCAACTTCTCTTTCAGGTAATTGTGAGCAACCCAACGAGAGCTTTATATATATGAAATTCCTTAATTAGACCTGATTTCTGATTTAGCTAAACTTTTTCCAGCCGAGTGAAGCATCCCAACTTCTCTTTTAGGTAATTGTGAGCAACACAGCAGTAAATATCAACACGAAGCAGATTATTATTGTAGATCATGCAGGGAGAACAAAGGGTGAAATATTTAACTGTAGCAGTGTTTGACTATATTCTGCGCAGTGAGAAAACCTGAAGTCATTTTCAAGGTCCACCATTTCTTACTTCTTTTCAGTTGGGTTCTAAACTTTATAAATCTCCATTTTCTGGCTAATGAAAAGAAAATAGGATTCCAACAGCCCAGCCCAGCCTGGAAACGGTTGCTGTGGGTGCCAGGTAATGACGTTACATAGCAACACCCAGCTTCCTCTCCCTAGCATCTAGCCCAGTGGTTCTCAACCTTGGCTGCGCATTAGAATCACCTGGGAATCTTTTTAAAATCCTGATTTCCGGGCCTCATCCTCTGGAAATTCTGTTTCTTTGTTACTAATGTTGTGGCCCCACCCCATAACAAAGAAACAGAATTTCCCGAGGACGAGGCCTGGAAATCAGGATTTTAAAGATTCCCAGGTGATTCTAATGCGCAGCCAAGGTTGAGAACCACTGGGCTAGATGCTAGGGAGAGGAAGCTGGGTGTTGCTATGTAACGTCATTACCTGGCACCCACAGCAACCGTTTCCAGGCTGGGCTGGGCTGTGGGCCGAATTTTGCGCCACTGGGTCTCGGCAGTGTCAGCTGTGATTTGGTGGGCTGTCACTCCGGGGTGGTGGTGGGGCCTGTGTCCCACTTGGGGGAAGCTGAGTGTTGCTTTGTGGGTGCCAGGTCCTCGGTGCCATTTCTTTGTAATTGGCCAGTGTGCATCAGGGAAGCTCCTGTGTGGAGCATCTGCCCCCTGGTGGTCAGTGCATGTCATAGCGACTGGTCGGACACTTAGCATATTAGCCTTTTATATATATAGACTAGAGGCCCGATGCATGACATTCGTGCAAGGGGCTTGGCCCTTGCAGCTGCGGCGGCGCTTGCCTCACTCGCAGCCCCAGCTTCGTCAGGAAGGTCATCCAGAAGGATGTCCGGCAGTCTGGTCTAATTAGCATATTACGCTTTTATTATTATAGATGATTGGAGAAACAGCTCTTAGCATTGTTTTTAAAGTGACAATTGACTACAGAAGCATATCAGTGTATGCCACTAGTGACTTTTCAGGATAGATGTCTTCCAAAAATATTTTAGGTAATAAAAAGTAAGTTTATCCAGGCACCAAAGATTTGACCTTATAACCTTCTTTTAAACTATAACCCAGATTAGTCTGCTAAGCAGCAAGTGTTGATTTTTAAAATTATTGAATTCTTTTTAATACAAACACAGCCAATCCCTATATTCCTTTTACACACATATATACATACTATTTTTCATATTATAAAACGGGAGTGAAAAATAAAATAAAATGGGAGTGAACAGCTGGTTGGCTTGCCCAGTCTCATTTCAATACAGTGTATCTCTCATCCTAACCACACTACACCCACCACACTGTGTGTGACTACTTAGAAATAATGAGGCAGATATAGTTTTGAGGATGGTTATAAAAAGTCTTCATGCTTTAGTCAAATATTAGCTAAGTAACCTGGGGCTTTTAGCTGAATTATTAGATACAAGATTAAGAGCCAATCCAGACTCTTCCTCATGTTAATTGTATTTAGGAAACTGCCTTTCTCAGCATGTACCAGCCCTGGGTTTACTCGCAAATTTATGTGTATTTGGTGACAAAAGTGACCTATCGAACATTAGATAAGTTCGCTGGGAAAATAAATTTAGGAGAAGCTCTATTTCCCCACAGTGGATCATAACACATGTTAGCATATTAAAGGAACTAAAAAGTCTCATAGTGAAGAAACCTGCTTAATTTTGTTTAATCAAGTATACATTCCCAACATATTAGGCCAGACACCTACTAATATCCCATGGGAACCACTCTGGAAGTGCTAGCTTAGCAAAGTGTACACAAATTCATTTATGAATTCAATGCTAGACAAATCATTCTGTGTGTGGAAGGCAGGGAGGCCTAATTGATCTCTCTTTTTAAAAAATATTTTTAAATTAATTTTAGAGAGGAAGGGAGAGGGAGAGAGAGACAGAAACATCAATGATGAGAGAATCATCAATCGGCTGCCTCCTGCACACTCCACACTGGGGATCGAGCCCACAACCCAGGCATGTGCTCTGACCGGGAACCGAACCGTGACATAGGTCGATGCTCAATCACTGAGTCATGCCAGCCGGGCACCTAATTGTCTCTTTTAACAAGATGCTGTAGAGGTTGTGCTGGCAAGTCCAAATGAAGGGTATGGGCTCGTTTTGATGGGTTCATTTAACCTCATTTGAATGCTTATTAACAGAATGCTGCTGCAAATATGTCAGTCATCAAAGCAACCAATGTGAAGGAAGGGTGCTCTGGTACAAATGAAGTCCCACCACACTACAAACAACCCAGAGGGCATGTTCTGATGATGGAAAGGAATACTACCATCTACACAGAAGAGGGTAACAGAGAGAAAAATCAGAAGTACCCACGAGGCATTTAAGCCTCATGAAATAGACACATTCCTTCTGCAGAGATAGATGGTTAATTATTTGTGAAGCAGAAAAACAGTTAATATCAAGTCTCAAGTCTTCATTAATTAAAACAAAAACAGGTAAGTTTTTGCATGTAGTTAAAACACTTAAATAGCTATCTCCCACTTAGTTCTAAATTCTGCCAGGCAAATCTATACAACAAGTTATCTCTGCTAAACAGAATTCACCAGGTAATAATGCCCACTGTCACCATTTTATAAACTACATGTGTTAACATCACCATGAAGGCAGGCGTGAAGTTGAGTGGTCAACATCCCCCATTCAGCAGTAGGCTTTGAGCCTTGGGTGGGGAGACACACCCTTGCAGGCTAGACCTCTCTGCAGTGACAGGAAATAAATTAGTTTTTGTATCTGCCCACATCTCTGAGGTTCTCTCTCTTAACACAATTAAGTTCTATCTAGAAAATCACAAGAAAGCATGATTACCTGAGGAGTGAGATTATGAAGAACCAGCCAGTAACTAGGACGAACTGAACCACCATCACTCCAGGTAGAGGCTATAAGCAATCAGAAAATAAGATTAGAAAAAAAATCAAGAAATGTAAAAAGGCACAAGTGATAAACATTTTCCTATAGCCCACATGCTGCTTCTTCCTCGTATAAATCAGTGTCTCTTTTCCACCTCACTCTGATCTTTATCTTGTCACTGAGGAGCCAGCTCTCTTCTCCGAGACCCGGATCCCTAAGCATTCTTATACCTTCTCTACAAGACAACGTTTTCCTCCTAGTGCTCTCACTCTGCCATTCGTCATTTTTACTCCATCAGCACCTTGGGAGTTCTTGGGTCCCTTTGCCTTACACCAGCCGTGGGCAAACTACGGCCCGCGGGCCGGATCCGGCCCGTTTGAAATGAATAAAACTAAAAAAAAAAAAAGACCGTACCCTTTTATGTAATGATGTTTACTTTGAATTTATATTAGTTCACACAAACACTCCATCCATGCTTTTGTTCCGGCCCTCCGGTCCAGTTTAAGAACCCATTGTGGCCCTCGAGTCAAAAAGTTTGCCCACCCCTGCCTTACACTGACTGCAATTTTCCACTCAAGAGACACTTTCGCCTCTACCAGCCAACCTGCATTTCCTCTCTTGTGAAGACTTCACATCTTCACCATTTGTGTTAACATAAGACCTTTGTGTTTGAACAAGGATGCTCCTTTATGCAGATCCTTCTCACCCGAGGCAAGCCGTGAGTCCTGTGTCCCCCACCCCCTGACTGATCGTGGTGCTGTGCTGCTCCAGGGAGATGATGGTTTGGGGTTGGTCAGACCAGGCGGTGGGCGGGGCAGCGGTGTAGTGTTCCTTGAGGAAATATGGTTTTTCCACATCTTGTTGGAGAGATGAGTGGGGTTGTGTCCTATGGGATCTGGGGACCATGTTGATTTGTAATCAGGGAACTTTGCTGTAAGAAAATTGAGGAAGGAGTAAGGTTACTTTTGTCACCAAATACACAACTTTTGTGAGCATGCACACACATTTAAATTCTAAAAACAGTAAGTGCACATTTAAAAAGCAGCAATGCAAAATAATAGTTTTTGAGCTTACTAAATATAAAATTTTCAATGACTAACTATCACTCTGAATTGACAAATTAACAAATGGAGTAAAGCTTTAATAAGTTATCTAATTCCCTACAGCTTTCTTAACTAAACATAGCCCAAAAGGGAAGATAAATTCAAATGGGACAGTATTCCTGAACCCATCAGACTTCTAGATATAGAATATGAAACCTAGCAGAACTAAAACATTCTACAAATACTTATTGACTTAATGGAAATTACATTAGAAAATTACATTTTTCTTGATATCCAGAATATTAGATATCAACAAACAGATTTTAAAAAATACAATCAACAAATATTCTCTAAGGGCTTACTATGCTTTAAGACGCTAAATCAGTGTGTGGGTAATATAAACAGTTATTCTCAAGAACTTCAAGGTCAGATGGGAAGACAAAACAGGTGAACAACAAAATTGGTAACCCCAGGCAACATTATATATGCTCAATACACAGAGAAGAAAGACAAGGCTGGACTGTCAGCAAAGGCTTTGCAAAGACAGGTCTTGAAGGATTTACATGAATAGATGGGCTGAGAGAGACTGAAAAATATAAACCAAGGTTCAATTTACACCCATCCTGTACCAAATATGCTTTCCCCAATTCTGGCTGAACATTCCACAGGGGCAGAGAGGTAAAGGAGGCCGTGAAGGCAGGCTGGGGACTGACTGAGCCATCAGGAGGAGATTTTGCAGTAGATTCAGTATGTAGTATTTAAAGCAGGATCTAAAACCCGGGTGACAGCACACAGACTGGAACAGAGACATGGATAGGAGAGGTACGACGGTAGACTAAACCACTTGGGGACATCATCACTGCCTGGATCCAGGGAACAAGGGAGAAATGAAAGAGCAAAACAATACTGACATATTGTGACTTAGTGATACATGGGAGCATCACTAAGAAAAATACAGAGTTTAGTTAAAAAGGAAAGATAATTTTGGAGGTGGGATTGAGCCTTGGATGGGGAGACATATCTGGGCTAATTTTTGGGCCATCTCTCCGGTGAATGTCCAATTATAGACAAAAGATAAATCAGATAAACCTGAGATATGGGCAGTTATAGGAATAAAAGAGTTAAGTGAAAATGAGTTTTTACATGTAAGGGAGAAGTCCTACAAAAGTATAATGTAGGGTAGTGGTTAAAACATGAAATACTGAGTTGGCTCCTTTATACACTCACTCAGACCTGAGGCAGCTAATTACATTAGCTCTTTGAACCTCAGTTTCTTCATCTACAAAATGGGGATAGCACCAGAACCTCCTTACTTTTAGTGAAAGTAAGATAAAAATTCATGCTGAGCCCTGGCTGGTGTGGCTCAGTTGGTTGGTTGGGTGTGGTCCTGTGTACTGAAAGGTTGCGGGTTTGATCCCCAGTAGGGGGCATGCAGGAGGCAGCTGATCAATGTTTTGTATTACATCAATGTTTCTTTCCCTCCCCCTTTCCCTTCCTCTTATATATATATATATAAAAAAAAGCCCTAGCTCAGTGGTTCTCAACCTTCCTAATGTCGCGACCCTTTAATACAGTTTCTCATATTGTGGTGACCCCCAACCATAAAATTATTTTCGTTGCTACTTCATAACTGTAATTTTGCTACTGTTATGAATCATAATGTAAATATCTGATATGCAGGATGTATTTAGGTGACCCTCGTGAAAGGGTCGTTCAACTCCAAAGGGGTTGCGACCCACAGGTTGAGAACCACTGCTAGCTGGTTTGGCTCAATGGATAGTGCGTCGACCTGCAGACTAAAGGGTCCCAGGTTTGATTCCAGTCAAGGGCACATGCCCAGGTTGCAGGCTCGATCTCCAGCAGGGGGCATGCAGGAGGCAGCCAATCAATGATTCTCTCTCATCATTGATGTTTCTCTCTCTCCCCTCTTGCCTCCTCTCTGAAATCATTAAAAAAATGTATTTTTAAAAAATCAATAAAAAAGGATCTTAAAAAGAAAAAAAATAGAATTTATGCTAACAACAGTGTGGTGATAGCTGGGGGGTAGGTGGAAGTGGGCAAGGGGGTAAAATGGGGACAAAAGAGACTTTACTTGGGGCGATAAGCACATGATGCAGCGTGCAGATAATGTTTTCTTGAATTGTACACTTAAAACCTATATGGTTTTGCAAATGTATGTCACCCTAATAAATTCAATTAAAAAAAAAGAAGCTTGAGATAAAATACTGTGATGAGGCAGCACATGCTGTGAGAGAAGGCACACTGGGGAGTTGGACAGCTGACATCTGAGGGAAACCTTCCAGCTCAGCTCCGCTGCCATCGACTGCAACTTCATGAGACACCCCAGCTGACCCTATCGCAGCAGAGAAACTGGCCAACGAGGCCCTGCCCAGACTTCAAACCCACTGAGTCATTAGAAAGAAATAAGTCATTGCTTTTTTTTTTTTTTAAAGGAATTCATGCTGAAGGCTTAGCATGCTGCCTGGTTTACAGGAGCACTCAATAAAATGATAGATCATTGTTGCACTGTTGATATGACATAGGTAAAAAGAAAAAAATAGAAAATAATTTGTAAGGTCATTAACCTGCAGAATCTTAGTAGGTAGCTAAGGATTTGTTTTATTTACTTTTGCCTAGACAAAGAACAGAAGCCTTAATGAGTTGAATGGCTTAAGGTCTAACTTTTCCAAGACCAAAGTGCCAATTACTCATGATTTCTCTCCCAATCTGTAAGGCATTGTGTTGAGTGCCTTCAAAGGCTCTATTATATCCATTATATGGCCATTAACTTTTCCATTCCCTAGTATTCCCCCAAAAACAAAACAACAAAAAAGGAACTCAGGAAAGGTTGTTGGTAGAATTAATCAAGGTCCTCTTGTTTTCCCTTAGCCATCTGTCCTTAGCCTTTAAAATTTTATTTCTTTATTTATTTTAGAGAGAGAAAGGAAAGGAGTGGGGGAGGGGGGAGAGGAGAGAGAGAGAGGAGAGAGAGATATTTGTTGTCCTACTTATTTATGCATTCATTGGTTGATACTTGTATGTGCCCTGACTGGGGATCAAACCTGCAACCTTGGCGTATCGGGACAATGCTCTAACCAACTGAGCAACCAAGCCAGGGCTGCCCATAGACTTTGTCTGAAAGTGAAAGGATTTTTAGAGAAAAGCAAGCTACAATTGGCTGCTTTAGGAATAAAACCTGGCCTTACCTCGTTCTTCCCATGGCCCTTGATTCTCTTGGGAGATTGGTTAAAAGAAAAGCACTTGTGTCATCAGGATATAACCTCTGACCTCTTTCACACTGACAGCTCTCTGTGATTATGTCACCGTTTGCTTTGTCCTAAAGCTGTACGTCTCATCCTGCCCCTCTGACACTGGAAGGTCCTCCAGAACATGGTCAATACAAGAGTTGTGCCTCCATCTATGCTGACATATTGCTGCTATTCAACTACTATAAAAGTATTCGTTAAGAAATACATGCCAATTTCCTGTGTAAAAGGAAACAAACAGGTCACACTCATACCTGAAGTGCTATGAACGTTGGTAAAGGAGTTGTCAGAGGCACTGTAGGGCCAGGCACCAGGTGAAGGCAGCGAGGTGTTGAGGGAAGAATTAGACCCTTTGAGTGACAGATGAAAAATAAGATAAAAATATTGCAGATAAATGTCAGTATAACAAATGAAACTTGGAAAAGCTTTATGTTCTTATGTTTTCTGGTTATTAGATAGTAGCAAGTATAAATGAAGCCACAGATTGACACATCTGAAAATATTGGGTGTTGAATCATCAACACAAGGGATGCTTGACTTATTTACCTGTGGTGTTATCCCGCAGAAGTTGGTGGTCAGTATCTACAATGGGAGATGTGGCTGTACCTCCCAGCACACTTCCTGGGGTGACATAGGGATCAGATTCAGGGTCAATGTTTTGGATACCTTTCCATGGCACTCCTGGTTGGAATTCTGAGAGAAGAAGAACAAGTATTAGAGGTTTTTGTTTTTAAATATATTTTTATTAATTTCAGAGAGAAAGAGAAAGATAGAAACATTAATAAGAGAGTATCATTGATCAGTTACCTCCTGCACGCCCCCCACTGGGGATTAAGCCCACAATCCAGGCATGTGCCCTGACCAGGAATCGTACAGTGACCTCCTGGTTCATGGGGCAATGCTCAACCACTGAGCCACAATGAAGTTATTTTTTCATATAAGAAATAGATCTGTATTTTATTTCAGATTTTCATCATAGAATTTTTAAAAATGTCGTCCTGAAAATATACTCTGGCAGCAACCTTTGTGTTATCACAACATGTCAGCCTTCTGTCTCTCTATGGTTGTGAACTTAATGCCAGAGCTCATCAGTGCCTAGTCCTGATACCTGCTCTTCCTGCTCCCAGGGAAATTCAGGCTTGGGGGCAGAGAGGCAGGATTAAGGCCTGGTGCTCATGAGAACTATTCAGGCATCTAGGACAAGAACTGAGAGAATATCTAGGTTGGGAATCAGTGGCTTCTCCCATTTATCTCACTGCAAATTGGCTCAGATGCACAAAAGAAAATACAATACAAATGACCACTACTAGACGAAATGTGCAGGGACAACTGGCAGGAATAATCAGGCTTATCATGAAAAAGCCTGGAATATGTATAAATAATGTTTACAATTTTTATTTGTTAATTTCAATCATACTTAAAGTTATGTGATGTGTTAATAAACTTTTATTTTTCTAATCATGATGAAGGAAAGCAATATGCATTATAAATGAGCAACAGGCATTATA